GGGTGCAGTTATAATATCAATGAAACAAGAAATTTTTTCAATGAAACAAGAAATTTAATTTTAGCACATTTTTACAGAATAAAAAGATGTAAAACAATTCATAAAATATAATGCCCATTTGGTGTATGACTTTTTGTCCTTGACTGCTAGTTTGGTTTTGGAAGGACAGGTAACTAACGGGGCAAGGAATGCGCGTGCCTGGAAGCTTTTGCACACACCGAAACGCTAGTTCAGTTAAGTTTATAGAGACAAGGCTCAGATTAGGACTAGAAGAAAAATTGTAAGCAGACATTAGGGGTTCTGTTTATAGTTGTTATTATAGGTTGCAGTCTTGTTGTGACAAAAAGTCTACACTAAAACATTCTTTGGTTTATATTGTGTAGTTCAAGGATATAAAATGCAGCTTCAAGCTTTCAAGGTGGATATTGGAGAGCTGGCGAAAGATTATGGCCTTTGTAACAATGGTTATAATAAGCTATAAATATCTTAAACTATACAGTGCTAATTAAAATTTCTTTAAACTTCATTCTCAAATTAGATTTTTAAAATTCAAAAGTAAATATACAATAATTTTATTAAAACTTTCTCACACATACTTTACTCACAGGACAAGACTTGGAAAACAGTAGCCTAGGGTAATTTTAATTGAGATGTGTGTGACCAGCCAGTTATAATGTTTGGGAAATAAGATTTGCGCAGTCAAAATCTTTGACAGTCCAATCAAGCAGGGCGTGATTATGTTGATTCGTTAATAGCGCACGTTTTAGCTTACCTCGCAAGCACATTACACTAGTAGTAAAGTCAGTCATTCTGAATTTTGGGGTTAAAATGTTAAAAATTTTGGTTGATCTAGTGTCATGTGATTGTCAGGTGGGTCTGCCTGACAGATTAGAAGGCAGGGTTTCCTCGAGGAACACGTGTAACCTTCATGTAAGGATATTGGAGCACGGAATTTCATTATCTTGTAGAGCTCGAGGTAACTGTGGTATGTATAGAGATTTTGTATAGCTAGAATATTATTATGCTTAAATATCGGTTTGGTGTGCTCTTTTATGAAAATTTTTTTTTTTAAATGATATGGTGAGATGTGATAATACATAATATATCAGCTCTGTCTCACAGCTCAATATACTCTTATAGAAGCTAGCTATTTCTGGCTACTATTATATATCAGTATACTCGTATAAAGTATAAATAATTAGAAGTATAACTAATTTTTGAATTATATTTGTGTTTGTATCAAAATAGACTGTCCAAGTATGGGTGTGCAACAATTGACCCCCCCGACAATCGACCCCCCGACAATTGACTCCACGACAATTATATAGGGGGTCAATTGTCGGGGGGCGGGGGGGGGGGTCAATTGTCGTACTAAGCCATAGATCTCGCGACAATTGACCCCAGTGTAATTACTTAGGGGGTCAATTGTCAGGGGGTCAAATGTCGCGGTACCCTAGTATCTAGCGCGAAAGAAACCACATGGAATTTTTTCCATCAACTTTTTATTTCCTCAAAAAGTATAAGATGGTTAGAAGTGGTAGAAATTGAGAATGGGTTTAATAGCTTAGGTAGGTAGGTTTTTCGTGTCAAGTGTCACAAAGGAAAACATTTTTTAAATATATATAACAATATAATTTACAACAATGTATATCGACCAGATTTGAATCAACAATTAATTGAGTCCATAGGACTCATAATTAGCTAAGCTTTGATACAAAGCATGCGAACTCAAAGTTGCTTTCACAACCTTTGTCAACTGAATTGACAGAAGATCTGGTTCCTCTTATACACAGGAGAACCAGCTTCCTGATAATAAATGATAATTTACATCTTAAAAAATTGACAAAATCTGAATAATTTTGTTGAGTTTTATAACTTATTTTCTCACACAATAATCTAAAAAATGTTCTCGCTTCTGGCCCGCTGCCACCCGTGACAGAGTACACCAGTGGACAGAAACTCCCATGTTCGACATTCAATATTCTCTCGTTGTATAACCTCCGCTTCTGAGTCTCAGCTCTCTCGTATATTTTTTCTGTTGATGATGAGAGGTAAGACTCAGAAATCAGAATTGGGATTGAGAAACTTTATGTCGAAATAGGAGTTTTGTCCCGGACGATAGAATCCCCTGGCACGGACGTCAGGGTAGGCATTGTCTCCTGTTAGTGTGGTACTTGTTGAGAAAGTCTCCCCGTCTAAAGTCTGTAGGTGGGGCTCACATTCTACGTCTTTGCAAACAGTTGATAGTTGTTTGGCTATGAAATCCCTAACTGAGTTGTGGCGGATGATGATGTAGCCTCCTCTTGGACAGTTTAGAGCATGGTTGATGTCCATTTTGGCCCCACAAACACAGGATTGAGGTAATCGTGGAAGGTCTTTGTTATATCGAAGAAGTAGACTATCCCTGAATTCCCCTTTGTTCAATGTGAACCCATAAGACTTAAGAGGTAGGACAGTCAACCAACTTGAGCTTCCTTTTTCTCTTGCCTGATTAATTGCACGTGTAGATCTATCACTGCTTTCATTGCAGATTAACGTGTATTCTAATTCATGCTTTTCTGCCCTCACTTTTAGAATTTCTTTCAGCGACTCGGAATCATGATCTATATCCGTTTCAATTCCGGCCATGGCCTTTACTAAGGACTTAGTCACTTCCATGGATGTTTTATACTCCTCTGATGCCAACTTTGATAAAACTGGTATGCCTAGTCCCCCACATCGTACGGGTAGCGCAACCGTTCTTCTCTCTAATGGTGTAATAGGGCATCCAAATAAAGCCGGTATAAATTTCTCATCGATAAGCATGTCAAGAGGTTGCAAGTATTGATCTAGTCCTTCGATTGTTCTCATGAAGTATGTCATTTTGTGCCTAACCCCATGAGTGAATGCTGCATATGCTGCTCGTGGCTGGGATTGACCAAAATCTGATAATTTGTTGATCATTGTGGTCCATTCTTCAACTAAATTATTGATGTAAAGTCGTTTATATTCCTCTGACCCAATAACCGCTCCAAGATGTCTCTGTCCGGTTATTTTTATCTCAATCCCGCTTTCTCCAAATATTTCCATAGCCCTCTCCATGCTCGATGGATGTTTTATTATCAAACATGATTTGCTCGGGTTGACATGATATCCATATTTAATTCCCTCTGCCACTATCATATCCCACCAGGTTTTGAGATGTATCAGTGTTCCAACAGATGACGTGTCGTCGGCCAGCCAGACTTGCATAACTTTCCTTAGCTCTTTAAGTTTCTGTAAAATTGGAAGTGTTGCGAGTGCAAATAGGGGCATTGCCAGATTGTCACCCTGGGTAGTGCCTTCTGCTGATGGTATTTCAGTCCCACAGACAAACAAGCGACTTGGAGCTCGGTACATATTGATGGCAATTGGTGCAAATTCAGGACATTGCCGCTGGATGTTATGCAGCATCACCATTCGATTAACAGCATTGAAAGCATTTGTCGCATCAACCAATATACACGCTTCAGCAGATTCCACTTGGAATTGCTGTCTAATGAAATGGACTGCTGCTTCAGTACCAAATTTTAGCCCTGTGCAGACTTGTGATGGTCCTGCTGTTTCCTGAATATCCATCTTAAGTGCCCAAGCGATAGCCTTTCCCACTATTCTTCTTACAGTTTCGCCAATACCAATTGGTCTAACACCCGGGCATTTGTTAAGCGGTATTAAACGGCAGTTGACATATGAATCAATGATTGATGGATCGATGTATTCAGATGCCAACGAAAGGAAAACATGCATTATCCTCCGCATACACCATTTTAATGCATCTCCAAGCGCAGAGCAGTAATGGTGTCGTCGCCATGGTTACCCTCCGCATACGTTTGCACGATTTGACGATTGCTTGAATTACACTTTCAAATGCGCGGTGCCAAGCATACAATTTTAATTCTATGGTAATTGATTTGAATAACTGTAAGCCGTGATTATTTGATAGATTTTAGGTAGTATTGCGTAATATATAATATTATGTACGCGGTGAATATTGGTAGAGTGATGACGCGGACGATAGGTTAAATATTTACAATATTAGCAATTGATAGAATAATTCTTCTGGAAACCAGCATAGGTGTGACTCAACCGTAAACCCATCCTCTGATGTGTAACCAATCCTTCAATTAGGATCAGAGCTGGGAACTTTTGTCGGGACATTGAGACTAGGTTTGTAACAAGCTACTTCGATAGAGGGTCATTGATGCCGGACTATGAGAGTATGAGGGACCAGGACCAGTTAGGGTTAGGTCTCGGAGAGCACGGATGGGGCCTCATGTCGTTACAGGGAGGATCAATGAGGGTTGATTTGCCGGATCTTAAACATGTGTTAATAAGCAGTTCAAGCTTTTATTTACTTGATCATTGATCATGATGCGCTACAAGTTACAAACATCTCGTTTTGTTGTGAGTGCTTGGTGCAACCACCGACTTGGCCCCGATAATGATATTCGTAATCCGTTATATTGTTGAACAAATTATGATGCTGATAATATGTTGAACATGATTGTTGAGTGATTGATTTGTTATACGGAATGGACGATAAATGTTATTATGAGTTACATTACCTACCTACTACGGATTTCACGACTACCATTTTATTTAATCTAACAACTTATGTAAACTTGTAAACAACCATTCCTTCGCATGGCTTTTTTTCTTCAAAGTTTTAACTGCATATCACCACACAGACGCAGGATACAGTGTCCGGTCATTTAACTTTTAAAGTTTGAATAATTGACAATGACAACCCCTCCATTTTGTGCTCTGTAGCGCCCCAAGAATAATGAATAAAGAACCATTATTTGATATTTTGACCAACATGAAACGATCGTTAATCGTAATTTTACAATTTAAAAGGCAATGCTTACGATTGATGGAAATCTAGCGTCTGCTAACCGGCGCAATTATTCTTGTTAATGAATTCAACTCACAGATTTTAGTCTGGTGGACTCTCATGGTGATACTATCGGAGCTGGCATTCTTGGGTTACTAATCAGCAATGGAGGAACAGTTTGTGACGATTATTTCACTGATTACTCAGCTAATGCTATTTGTCGTAAAATGGGATACTTTGGTCAAATGAGTTGGACATTTGGTAATAAGTGGGGCATCCAGTCAAATTATGATATTACCCTGGACGACGTTTCATGCAGCAGCGGTGAATGGAGTTCGTGTACATTTTCACTATCGAACAATTGTGATCACAGTAAAGATGTGTTTTTACATTGTGATGGAACTGGTGAGTCAACATCATAAATTAAAGGAAACCTTGTATAATTGGGTTAAACTTAAAAGTAATTTGATACCATAATACTTCATCTTATACATGTGTTAAGTAGTTCAAGCTTTTCTTTACTTGATCATTGATCATGAATATGATGCGGTACAACATACAAACATTTCGTTTTGTTGTGAGTGCCTGGTGCAACCACCGACTTAGCTCCCGATAATGATAGTAATGATAGTAATCCCGATAATGATTAGTAATCCCGATAATGATTAGTAATCCGTTATATTGTTGAACAATTTATGATGCTGATATTAACAATTATGTTGAACATAATTGTCGAGGGATTGATTTTTTATACGAAATGGACCATAAATGTTATTAGGAGTTACATTACCTACTACAGATTTCACGACTACCATTTTATTTAATCTAACAACTTATGTAAACTTGTAAACAACCATTCCTTCACATGGATTTTATTCTTCAAAGTTTTAACTGCATATCACCACACAGGCGCAGGCTACGGTGTCCGGTCATTTAACTTTTAAAATTTAAGTAATTGACAATGGCAACCCCTCCATTTTGTGCTCTGTAGCGCCCCAAGAATGATGAATAAAGAACCATTATTCGATATTTTGACCAACATGAAACGATCGTTAATTGTAATTTTAAATTTTAAAACGCAATGCATACGGTTGATGGAAATCTAGCGTCCGCTAACCGGCGCAATTATTCTTGTTAATGAATTCAACTCACAGATTTTAGTCTGGTGGACTCTCATGGTGATACTATCGGAGCTGGCATTCTTGGGTTACTAATCAGCAATGGAGGAACAGTTTGTGACGATTATTTCACTGATTACTCAGCTAATGCTATTTGTCGTAAAATGGGATACTTTGGTCAAATGAGTTGGACATTTGGTAATAAGTGGGGCATCCAGTCAAATTATGATATTACCCTGGACGACGTTTCATGCAGCAGCGGTGAATGGAGTTCCTGTACATTTTCATTATCGAACAATTGTGGTCACAGTAAAGATGTGTTTTTACAGTGTGATGGAGGTGAGTCAACATCATAAATTAAAGGACACCCTGTATATAATTGGGTTAAAAGTAATTTGATACCATAAAATATTGTTCAGTAATGAGTAAACAAGTGGAAGCACCTTTCGTTTCTAACCCTAATATAACCCTTAATTGTACCAAACTGATAACCTTGAAACGTTACTTCATCTTATACATGTGTTAAAGTTCAAGCTTTTCTTTACTTGATCAATTGAACTGAATTTCAAGTGTCATGCATGTTTCCCGTATTTGATGCATAATTTATCAATATTATTATCATGAAGATTGAAGTGAGCTGATTGGAGCTTATACTTAAATTTATAAATTTACTATAAATTTACTATAAATTTACTATAAATTTACTATAAATTTACTAAAAATTAACTATATATTTATTATAAAATTACTTTAAATTTACTTGTCATACGTTGTATGACCCGCCGCGCACGAGTGCGCGGCTCCCCTGTATCGTAGAAACTCTACAGGGTGAAACTTTACAGGGTGAAGCGACAGTGAGGGTCACCACGTGATACAAAAATTTACTATAAATTTACTATAAATTAACTATAAATTTACTATAAATTTACTATAAATTTACTATAAATAGTAAATGTGGAATGGAAATCTAGCGTCCGCCAAAACAAAACAAGTGGCGCAATTATTTTTGTTAATGAATTCAACTCACAGATTTTAGTCTGGTGGACTCTCATGGTGATACTATTGGAGCTGGCATTCTTGGGTTACTAATCAGCGATGGAGGAACAGTTTGTCACGATTATTTCACTGATTACTCAGCTGATGCTATTTGTCGTGAAATGGGATACTTTGGTCAAATGAGTTGGACATCTGGTAATAAGTGGGGCATCCAGTCAAATTATTATATTAGCCTGAACGACGTTTCATGCAGCAGCGGTGAATGGAGTTCGTGTACATTTTCATTATCGAACAATTGTGATCACAGTAAAGATGTGTTTTTAAAGTGTGATGGAACTGGTGAGTCAACATCATAAATTAAAGGAAACCTTGTATAATTGGGTTAAAAGTAATTTGATACCAAAAAATATTGTTCAGTAATGAGTAAACAAGTCGAAGCACCTTCCGTTTCTAACCCTAATATAACCCTTAATTATACCAAACTGATAACCATGAAACGTTACTTCATCTTATACATGTGTTAAGTAGTTCAAGCTTTTCTTTACTTTATCATTAATCATGATGCGGTACAACATACAAACATCTCGTTTTGTTGTGAGTGCTTGGTGCAACCACCGACTTGGCTCCCGATAATGATATTAGTAATCCGTTATATTGTTGAACAAATTATGATGCTGATATAATATGTTGAACATGATTGTCGAGTGATTGATTTGTCATACGAAATGGACCAAAAATGTTATTATGAGTTACATTACCTACTACGGATTGCACGACTACCATTTTATTTAATTTAATAACTTATATAAACTTGTAAACAAGCATTTCTTCACATGGCTTTTTTTCTTCAAAGTTTTAACTGCGTATCACCACACACGCGCATGCTACTGTGTCTGGTCATTAAACTTTTAAAATTTAAATAATTGACAATGGCAACCCCTCCATTTTGTGCTCTGTAGCGCCCCAAGAATGATGAATAAAGAACCATTATTTGATATTTTGACCAACGTGAAACGATCGTTAATTGTAATTTTACATTTTAAAGACAAATGCCTACGATTGATTGAAATCTAGCGTCCGCTAACCGGCGCAATTATTCTTGTTAATGAATTCAACTCACAGATTTTAGTCTGGTGGACTCTTATGGTGATACTATTGGAGCTGGCATTCTTGGGTTACTAATCAGCGATGGAGGAACAGTTTGTGACGATGATTTCAATCGTAACTCAGCTGATGCTATTTGTCGTAAAATGGGATACTTTGGTCAAATGAGATGGACATATGGTGATAAGTGGGGCATCCAGTCAAATTATGATATTACCCTGGACGATGTTTCATGCAGCAGCGGTGAATGGAGTTCGTGTACATTTTCATTATCGAACAATTGTGGTCACAATGAAGATGTGTTTTTACAGTGTGATGCAACTGGTGAGTCAACATCATAAATTAAAGGAAACCTTGTATAATTGGGTTAAAAGTAATTTGATACCAAAAAATATTGTTCAGTAATGAGTAAACAAGTCGAAGCACCTTCCGTTTCTAACCCTAATATAACCATGAAACGTTACTTCATCTTATAAATGTGTTAAGTAGTTCAAGCTTTTCTTTACTTGATCATTGATCATGATGCGCTACAACATACAAACATCTCGTTTTGTTGTGAGTGCTTGGTGCAACCACCGACTTAGCCCCGTTAATGATATTAGTAATCCGTTATATTGTTGAACAAATTATGATGCTGATATTATGTTGAACATGATTGTCGAGTGATTGATTTGTTATACGAAATGGACCATAAATGTTATTAGGAGTTACATTACCTACTACGGATTTCACGACTACCATTTTATTTAATCTAATAACTTATGTAAAGTTGTAAACAACCATTCCTTCACATGGCTTTTTTTCTTCAAAGTTTTAACTGCATATCATCACACAGGCGCAGGCTACGGTAGCCGGGCATTGCTAATTTAAATAATTAACAATGGCAACCCCTCCATTTTGTGCTCTATAGCACCCCAAGAATGATGAACCATTATTTGATATTTTGACAAACATTTTTTATTGAAATCTTTCAAATCGATCAATTACATACAAATTTACACAATGAATGAACAACATTAAATATTCTCAAAAGTATAAGACTCCGATAAGATCAGATTTTTTAGGACAAAATGTATGTAATCAAAGGACCTGAGGGTCACCAAAACACAGATGTTGAGAGCTGCACAAGTATGGGCCCACGAAAATGGGCCCACGAAAATCTTGAATTTTAAATAGAATTTCAAATATAATCACACAAAAATATTAAAAGCAATCAAATCATATAATAAAGTGAAATCCATGATGTGATGATATGCACTAAAATGAGAAATGAGAAATACAGACAGCAGGGATTTAAGCTCTTATGAACATAATGTTAGCTTTTAGGTAAACTGCCTCACATCTCTGTCTCAAGGGAATAATCTATATCATAATCAAAGTCCTCCGGCAGAATTTTATCCCACATGTAGGAGGTCAATTTGCTTTTGAACTCAGAAATAGTCTCTATCTCACGTATAGCTAGAGGAATATGATTCCATTTGGAATGGGTCCTAAAGTAAAAGTTCTTAGCAAAAGCGTTAGAGCTTGCTCGTGGTAAGATTGAGCTTACAAAACATAAGGGGTCCATGTGGCTATTTCTTAAGAAGAAAATAAGGTCAAGAAAGTCGAAGCGGTCTTCTATGGGCATAATCTTAAGCTGTCTGCATTTTTGAATGTATGTGGATGGTGGATAACTCATATACTCCTCGTGAAGAATCCACTTAATAGCACGCTTTTGGAGGCCCTCCAGCTTGCTTATCTGGGATTTTGTGACCGGTCTCCATATAACTGAGCAATGCTCAAATTGACTTCTCATTAAAGTGAGATACAGTACTCTACGACGATTTTCATCTTGAACAAAATAGCAATTTCTCCTTGCCATGCCTAATTTTTGGTTGGCCTTTGAAAGGACTTTAGAGCACTGGTCTTGCCAGTCGAGATTCTTGGTCACAAAAACACCCAGATCCTTTTCATGATCGACATAGTCAAGTGCGATTCTTCCCATGGAGTATACAAAGTTAAAGAGTGGTAGGACACTAAGGAGGGAAACTGTTTCGGATATCCTTCCTGCGACGGTGAGGACCTTACATTTGTCGGGATGAAATCTCATTTTATTAGAAAGTGACCAGTCATGGAGATAATCAATGTCCTTCTGCAGTTGCAGGATATCAGACTCCGAAACAATCTTGCGCCAAATTTTAGTATCATCGGCATACAGTGACAGTTGTGTGCCTGGTGAAATCCCCACTGATTTATCATCAATGAACATAATGAACATCAATGGTCCCAAAATTGACCCTTGTGGTACACCAGACTGGGCGTTTCTCATAAAAGAAAGCTTACCACTTATTAAGACATGTTGTTGCCTGTCTCTTAGATAATCAGTGATGAATTTCAGTAGCCTCCCATCAATACCAAATTTGCTCTTTAGCTTAAATAATATAAGATCATGGTTAACCGAGTCAAAAGCTTTGGCAAAATCAAAGTAGACTACATAACATCTGTTCTCATATTTTCATTCAGTGAGAGAGCTAGGCTGTCACATAGACCTACAAGATTAGTTGCACATGATCTTTCAGCTCGAAAGCTCGTGTTGTTTATCGTTGATCATGCCGTTAGTAAGTGCAAGTAGCTCATCTTTTATTATGCGTTCAAGAACTTTAGTAATTAAGCATGTAAGGGATATTGGCCTATAATTTAAAACCTCATGTTTATCACCTTTTTTATATATGGGTACAACGTGTCCCAGTTTCCACTCCCTAGGTAATGTCCCAATGTTGTAACATGAATGAAATAATAGTGATAATGGGTATGCAAGCCCAACAGCACAGTTTTTCAAAAGTTTCCCATGAATACCATCAGGCCCATAAGCTTTGTTAGAGTTAATATTTGAAAGGATTTTGCGGACCCTTTGGTGGTCAAATGCAATATCAAAGCGCCAATCATTTGAATAATCAATATCTATGTCGTATAATGATGCTTCAGAGAACTGCTCGAAGAAAAAGCCATTAAATAAGTTGGCCTGGTCCTCTGGGCAGTTGCGGACAATGCCGTTGTAGCTTACAAACTCAGGAATTCTTTGACTAGCTGTTTTTGATTTTACATATGACCAGAATTTTTTTGTTACAAGAGCGCTATCATCTGATTCATTTAATGTTTCTCGCATTTTTTGAGCAACCACATTTTTGAAGTTTTTCCTGGCGAGGGAGAACGCTATTTGGGCTCTATCGCTTTTATGTCTATCTTTATGCAGTCTTATTTTCTTGCACCATGCATCATAGCACACTGAGTCAAACCATGGATCTTGTCCATCTGTCTTAACTGAGCATTTCTTGATGAATTTGTCAGTGATATTGAAAAGTTTTTCCTTAAATTTTTTCCACCCAATTTCAGGTTCTGTGCCATTAAGCAATGCATTCCAGTCTGTGTGCCGGAGTTCATGGTTTAGCCTCTCCCAGTTCACGTTTTTATAGTTATAGCACATACGTTTAACCGGCTTCTTCCTATTTACCTTAATGTTGATCTTAAAGTTGATTGTAAAATGATCAGACTTACAGAAGCTATCTCGCTCACCTACCATTAGGTCACTGATATTAGACTCAGAGTTTGTGAGCAAAAGGTCCATGAAACGATCATTAATTGTAATTTTACATTTTAAAGGCAATGCCTACGGTTGATGGAAATCTAGCGTCCGGTAACCGGCACAAATATTCTTGTTAATGAATTCAACTCACAGATTTTAGTCTGGTGGACTCTCATGGTGATACTATTGGAGCTAACATTCTTGGGTTACTAATCAGCGATGGAGGAACAGTTTGTGACGATTATTTCACTGGTTACTCAGCTGATGCCATTTGTCGTCAAATGGGATATTTTGGTCAAGTGAGTTGGACATCCGGTAATAAGTGGGGCATCCAGTCAAATTATGATATTACCCTGGACGACGTTTCATGCAGCAGCGGTGAATGGAGTTCGTGTACATTTTCACTATCGAACAATTGTGGTCACAGTAAAGATGTGTTTTTACAGTGTGATGGAGGTGAGTCAACATCATAAATTAAAGGACACCCTGTATAACTGGGTTAAAAGTAATTTGATACCATAAAATATTGTTCAGTAATGAGTAAACAAGTCGAAGCACCTTCCGTTTCTAGCCCTAACTAAGCAGTGCGCCATCGACAGTAAGACGCGCGCGCTGACCATTTAATGGTTTTTTAGCTCGTATTTCGGCCAGCACATTATTTCGGAAACAATCAAAAAGTTATAATACTTCCCATATAACAATTTTGTTGAAATTTGGTCAGCTTACGTAAACACTTATGTTCTACTGAACCTAATTTAGTTTGAGCAATTTTGATGGTCAGAATTTGAGTTATCAACGAATTTATACCTATTTTATCATTTTTAGACCTCTTAATCAAGACCAATCTCTCCAAACTAAATTAGGTTCGGTAGTTAAGTATGATTAAAAAGTTCTGACAAATTTTCAGCATGATTCATGTTCAGGAACCGAAGATATGACAGAATAATACGACAAAAATCAACGAATTTCGTCAAATTACGCGACTTTTACGCCTAATTTTGCTTGCTAAAGCCGCGCACCATCAAATATGGCACATAGGCGAAACTCACTGATCATTCCAAAAATTATTAATCAACTATATACAGCAAACACAAGATAATAGAAAATAAATCATAAAATCGAGTGGCCGAGTAGTCTCGACTCACCCATAGCTTCTCCATAAGCGTCTATCATGAGCTTTGTACACTAAATCGTTGAAATTACTTAAACTAAATCTTTTATTTACAATCACAATAATATTCTTTGTCATAAAGTCTTTTAATAATAAATCAAATAAATTCGAACGAGGTCTGCCCCTCCTTCCTTTGTAGTCAAAACATCCTAAACATGCAAATCTAAAAGATAAGAAAGCGGGAGTGTCATCACCGCTTCTGAGAACGTGCCCAAGCATCTTCCATCTTGCTTTCTTGATCCTTTCAGTAAGGGGTCTGACATTACATCTCTTATATAAATTCTCGTTACTGATAACCGTAGGCCAATAGGTGTTGATTATCTGTCTCAGATGCTTTCTTTGAAGAACGTCGACAGATGCCATTACGGTTTCAGGAGCAGCCCAGCTGCTACAGTTATACAACAACACTGAAGTGACAAGAGCTTCGTACAGCTTCAGCTTTCTACTCTCACTGATCTGAACAGAACTATTCAACCAGACTTTCTTGTAGGTGTAAAAGGCAACATTGGCTTTGTTGCGTCTGTTGACAATATCTCTTTCTGAACAGAGCTTTGATTCTAATAGCACTGACTCTCGCCACTCTTCATCTCCTCTAATTTTATTCCAAAAAGGTATTGCAAATTTAGTACTGTGAAAATTCTCACAGTCTCTAGAAAACAATGGTACAAAAATTTTGAAAATCCGAGCAAGTTTATTTTTATCGTGCACTCCCTACCCTAACATAACCTTTAATTGTACCAAACTGATAACCATGAAACGTTACTTCATCTTATAAATGTGTTAAGAAGTTCAAGCTTTTCTTTACTTGATCATTGATCATGATTGCGGTACAACATACAAAAATCTCGTTTTGTTGTGAATGCTTGGTGCAACCACCGACTTGGCCCCGATAATGATATTTGTAATCCGTTATATTGTTGAACAAATTATGATGCTGATATTATGTTAAACATGATTGTCGAGTGATTGATTTGTTAGGTATACGAAATGGACCATAAATGTTATTAGGAGTTACATTACCTACTACGGATTTCACGACTACCATTTTATTTAATCTAACAACTTATGTAAACTTGTAAACTAGCATTCCTTCACATAACTTTTTTTCTTCAAAGTTTTGACTGCATATCACCACACAGGCGCAGGCTACGGTATCCAGTCATTCAACTTTTCAAATTTGAATAATTGACAATGGCAACCCATCCATTTTGTGCTCTGTAGCGCCCCAAGAATGATGAATAAAGAACCATTATTTGATAGTTTGACCAACATGAAACGATCATTAATTGTAATTTTACATTTTAAAGGCAATGCCTACGGTTGATGGAAATCTAGCGTCCGGTAACCGGTGCAATTATACTTGTTAATGAATTCAACTCACAGATTTTAGTCTGGTGGACTCTCATGGTGATACTATTGGAGCTGGCATTCTTGGGTTACTAATCAGCAATGGAGGAACAGTTTGTCACGATTATTTCACTGATTACTCAGCTGATGCTATTTGTCGTGAAATGGGATACATGGGTCAAATGACTTGGACATCCGGTAATAAGTGGGGCATCCAGTCAAATTATGATATTACCCTGGACGACGTTTCATGCAGCAGCGGTGAATGGAGTTCGTGTACATTTTCATTATCGAACAATTGTGATCACAGTAAAGATGTGTTTTTACAGTGTTATCAAATTGGTGAGTCAACATCATAAATTAAAGGACACCCTGTATAATTTGGTTAAAAGTAATTACTAATTTGATACCATAAAATATTGTTCAGTAAACAAGTGGAAGCACCTTCCGTTTCTAACCCTAATATAACCCTTAATTGTACCAAACTGATAACCATGAAACGTCACTTCATTTTATACATGTGTTAAGTAGTTCAAGCTTTTCTTTACTTGATCATTGATCATGATGCGGTACAACATACAAACATCTCGTTTTGTTGTGAGTGCTTGGTGCAACTACCGACTTGGCTCCCGATAATGATATTAGTAATCCGTTATATTGTTGAACAAATTATGATGCTGATATTACGTTGAACATGATTGTCGAATAATTGATTTGTTATACGGCCCCACAAAAAACCTCACCGAACCTCCACGCGGTGTGGGGTGGGTGACTCGAACGGGAGGTGCATGGGTGTTTCTAACCTATGCAAAGGAAGGGACTAGGCATCTCAACAACAAAGGAAAGGCTATAATAGCCTTTACTAACCTTAGACCCGCAGCATAACCGCTTTTCCCACAGGCAAATAACACCTTCCGCAGGAAAATAACACGCTCACAGGCTCCCACATGACGTTTTAACCCCAGGATTTGGTTTTGGATCGGACACTCAAAACAACGATAGAGGAGCGGTCTACACGCTCACAGACTACAACGTCTCGTGCAGAAACCCCAGGATTTAACACGCTCACAGGCTACCACGTCTCGTGTACCCTAGGATTTGGTTATGGATCGGACACTCAAAACAACGATAGAGGAGCGGTCTACAGTGACAGAGTGACGTTACAGGAACATTGCAAACTCCTACGATTTTCACGTAGCAGGCCATGAACTCCCCTGGAAGTCCCTGTCTCTCCGTCGTTAACCCGGCGGGGTTGCAACAGGGGCGGTGGTAACAGAACTTCAAGACTCTCGGAGTCTGTTGTCGATATCTATGTTTAATATATTTATGGTATATAATTTGAAAGTCTCTATCTCCGGCAGCAGGAGTTGGAGAATGGGGACGCGTTGTGAAAGCCACCGTAAGGAAGGCTTACTGTCGACGCCGACCAATCAAAAGAAAATTTGTTATACGAAATAGACCATAAATGTTATTATCATATTATGAGTTACATTACCTACCTACTACGGATTTCACGACTACCATTTTATTTAATCTAACAACTTATGTAAAGTTGTAAACAACCATTCCTTAACATGGCTTTTTTTCTTCAAAGTTTTAACTGCATATCACCACACAGGCTACGGTGTCCGGTCATTTAACTTTTAAAATTTGAATAATTGACAATGGCAACCCATCCATTTTGTGCTCTGTAGCGCCCCAAGAATGATGAGTAAAGAACCATTATTTGATATTTTGACCAACATGAAACGATCGTTAATCGTAATTTTACATTTTAAAAGGCAATGCTTACGGTTGATGGAAATCGAGCGTCTGCTTACCAGCGCAATTATTTTTGTTAATGAATTCAACTCACAGATTTTAGTCTGGTGGACTCTCATGGTGATACTATTGGAGCTGGCATTCTTGGGTTACTAATCAGCGACGGAGGAACAGTTTGTGACGATTATTTCACTAAAGACTCAGCTGATGCAATTTGTCGTGAAATGGGATACTTTGGTCGAATGAGTTGGACATCCGGCAATAAATGGGGCATCCAGTCAAATTATGATATTACCCTGGACGACGTTTCATGCAGCAGCGGTGAATGGAGTTCGTGTACAATTTCATTATCGAACGATTGTGATCACGATGAAGATGTGTTTTTACAGTGTGATGGAATTGGTGAGTCAACATCATAAATTAAAGGACACCTTGTATAATTGGGTTAAAAGTAATTTGATACCATAAAATATTGTTCAGTAAACAAGTCGAAGAACCTTCTGTTTCTAACCCTAATATAACCCTTAATTGTACCAAACTGATAACCATGAAACGTTACTTCATCTTATACATCATTGTGTTAATAAGTAGTTCAAGCTTTTCTTAATTTCTTTACTTGATCATTGATCATGAATGCGCTACAACATACAAACATCTCGTTTTGGTCGTTGGTGCAACCACCGACTTGGCCCCGATAAATGATCCGTTATATTGTTGAACAAATTATGATACTGATATTATGTTGATAACTGATAACCATGAAACGTCACTTCAGATGTTGAATCAGTTAACATAGAAGTGAAGAAAGGCTCTCACGCAACGATTTCGTGTATCATCACTGGCATAACAGAAATAGCAACAGTGACCTGGCGAACAAGTACAGGACCAGTTCCAGCTGAAAAGTTCACCCCTGTTCAAGGAAGTCACTCTGCAGGGACACAAACATCAACTCTTGCCGTAGACGGAACTCTCGTAACCGAAGATACTGCCTACACTTGCAGAGTCACTTCCGGATCTTTACCTGATTCCAACTTCTCTGATACCTCTGTCAATCTAAACGTTTATGGTATGTTCTTTAACGCTAACAGTAATTTCTATCTCACCTCCAATCTCCATATTCTAATTCAATTCAGTTAACGGAATTGTTTTGATGATCCGTTGGTTGTAATTGTAGAATTTGTAGAATTTGTAAATTTACCAAAACTCACTTCAGACGTTGAATCAGTTTACACAGAAGTGAAGAAAGGCTCTTACGCAACGATTTCGTGTATCATCACTGGCATAACAGGAACAGCAGCAGTGACCTGGCGAACAAGTACAGGATCTGTTCCAGCTGAAAAGTTCACCCATGTCCAAGGAAGTTACTCTGCAGGGACACAGAAGTCAACTCTTGCCGTAGACGGAACTCTTGTCAACAAAGATACTGCCTACACTTGCAGAGTCACTTCCGGATCTTTACCTGATTCCATCTTCTCTGACACCACTGTCAATCTAAACGTTTATGGTATGTTCTTTAACGCTAACAGTAATTTCTATCTCACCTCCAATCTCCATATTCTAATTCAATTCAGATAACGGAATTGTTTTGATGATCCGTTGGTTGTAAATTGTAGAATTTGTAGAATTTGTAAATTTACCAAAACTCACTTCAGACGTTGAATCAGTTAACACAGAAGTGAAGAAAGGCTCTTATACAACTATTTCGTGTATCATCACTGGCATAACAGAAACAGCAGTAGTGACCTGGCGAACAAGTACAGGACCTGTTCCAGGCGATAAGCTCGTCCCTACCCAAGGAAGACACTCTGCAGGGACACAGACGTCAACTCTTGCCGTAGACGGAACTCTTGTCAACGAAGATACTGCCTACACTTGCAGAGTCACTTCCGGATCTTTACCTGATTCCAACTTCTCTGATACCACTGTCAATCTAAACGTTTATGGTATGTTCTTAAACGCTAATGCAGTAATTGTGCGATATATTTTTCGATTCATGAACGAATTTCTATCCTTTCTTCATGTTCCAATTCACATCAGATCAAGGAAATGATTTCATGATGCGTCAGTTATAAATTGTAGAATTTGTAAATTTACCAAAACTCATTTCAGACGTTGAATCAGTTAACACAGAAGTGAAGAAAGGCTCTTACGCAATGATTTCGTGTATCATCACTGGCATAACAGAAACATCAGCAGTTACCTGGCGAACAAGTACAGGACCTGTTCCAGGCGATAAGTTTACCCCTGTTCAAGGAAGTTACTCTGCAGGGACACAAACATCAACTCTTGCCGTAGACGGAACTCTTGTCAACGAAGATACTGCCTACACTTGCAGAGTCACTTCCGGATCTTTACCTGATTCCAACTTCTCTGATACCACTGTCAATCTAAACGTTTATGGTATGTTCTTTAGACGCTAACAGTAAGCTTACAATCTATTCATCGATTCATGAACTAATTTTTATCCTTCCTTCTTATTCCAATTCACATCAGATCAAGGAAATGATTTCATTATTTGTCGGTTATAAATTTTAGAATTTGTAAATTTACCAAAACTCATTTCAGACGTTGAATCAGTTAACACAGAAGTGAAGAAAGGCTCTTACGCAACGATTTCGTGTATCATCACTGGCATAACAGAAACAGCAGCAGTGACCTGGCGAACAAGTACAGGACCTGTTCCAGCTGAAAAGTTCACCCCTGTCCAAGGAAGTTACTCTGCAGGGACACAGACGTCAACTCTTGCCATACACGGAACTCTTGTCAACGAAGATACTGCCTACACTTGCAGAGTCACTTCCGGATCTTTACCTGATTCCAACTTCTCTGATACCACTGTCAATCTTAAAGTTTATGGTATGTTCTTTAACGCTAACAGTAATTTCTATCTCAACTCCAATCTCTATATTCTAATTCAATTCAGTTAACGGAATTGTTTTGATGATCCGTTGGTTTTAAATTGTAGAATTTGTAGAATTTGTAAATTTACCAAAACTCACTTCAGACGTTGAATCAGTTAACACAGAAGTGAAGAAAGGCTCTTACGCAACGATTTCGTGTATCATCAATGGCATAACAGAAACAGCAGCAGTGACCTGGCGAACAAGTACAGGACCTGTTCCAGCTGAAAAGTTCACCCCTGTCAAAGGAAGTTACTCTGCAGGGACACAGACGTCAACTCTTGCTGTAGACGGAACTCTTGTCAACGAAGATACTGCCTACACTTGCAGAGTCACTTCCGGATCTTTACCTGATTCCAACTTCTCTGATACCACTGTCAATCTAAACGTTTATGGTATGTTCTTTAACGCTAACAGTAATTTCTATCTCAACTCCAATCTCCATATTCTAATTCAATTCAGTTAACGGAATTGTTTTGATGATCCGTTGGTTTTAAATTGTAGAATTTGTAGAATTTGTAAATTTACCAAAACTCACTTCAGACGTTGAATCAGTTAACACAGAAGTGAAGATAGGCTTTTACGCAACGATTTCGTGTATCATCACTGGCATAACAGAAACAGCAACAGTTACCTGGCGAACAAGTACAGGACCTGTTCCAGGCGATAAGCTCGTCCCTACCCAAGGAAGTTACTCTGATGGGACACAGACATCAACTCTTAAAGTAGACGGGACTCTTGTCAACGAAGATACTGCCTACACTTGCAGAGTCACTTCCGGATCTTTACCTGATTCCAACTTCTCTGATACCATTGTCAATCTAAACGTTTATGGTATGTTCTTAAACGCTAATGCAGTAATTGTGCGATATATTTTTCGATTCATGAACGAATTTTTATCCTTTCTTCATACTCCAATTCACATCAGATCAAGGAAATGATTTCATGATCCGTCAGTTATAAATTGTAGAATTTGTAAATTTACCAAAACTCATTTCAGACGTTGAATCAGTTAACACAGAAGTGAAGAAAGGCTCTTACGCAATGATTTCGTGTATCATCACTGGCATAACAGAAACATCAGCAGTTACCTGGCGAACAAGTACAGGACCTGTTCAAGGCGATAAGTTTACCCCTGTTCAAGGAAGTTACTCTGCAGGGACACAAACATCAACTCTTGCTGTAGACGGAACTCTTGTCAACGAAGATACTGCCTACACTTGCAGAGTCACTTCCGGATCTTTACCTGATTCCAACTTTTCTGATACCACTGTCAATCTAAACGTTTATGGTATGTTCTTTAGACGCTAACAGTAAGCTTACAATCTATTAATCGATTCATGAACTAATTTTTATCCTTCCTTCTTATTCCAATTCACATCAGACCAAGGAAATGATTTCATTATTTGTCGGTTATAAATTTTAGAATTTGTAAATTTACCAAAACTCACTTCAGACGTTGAATCAGTTAACACAGAAGTGAAAAAAGGCTCTTACGCAACGATTTCGTGTATCATCACTGGCATAACAGGAACAGCAGCAGTGACCTGGCGAACAAGTACAGGACCTGTTCCAGGTGATAAGCTTGTCCCTACCCAAGGAAGTTACTCTGATGGGAGACAGACGTCAACTCTTGCCGTAGACGGGACTCTTGTCAACGAAGATACTGCCTACACTTGCAGAGTCACTTCCGGATCTTTACCTGATTCCAACTTCTCTGATACCACTGTCAATCTAAACGTTTATGGTATGTTCTTTAAACGCTAATGCAGTAATTGTGTGATATATTTTTCGATTCATGAACTAATTTCTATCCTTCCTCCATATTCCAATTCACATCAGATCAAGGAAATGATTTCATGATTTGTCGGTTATAAATTGAAGAATTTGTAAATTTACCAAAACTCATTTCAGACGTTGAATCAGTCAACACAGAAGTGAAGGAAGGCTCTTACGCAACGATTTCGTGTATCATCACTGGCATAACAGAAACAGCAGCAGTGACCTGGCGAACAAGTACAGGACCTGTTCCAGCTGAAAAGCTCACCCCTGTCAAAGGAAGTTACTCTGCAGGGACACAGACGTCAACTCTTGCTGTAGACGGAACTCTTGTCAACGAAGATACTGCCTACACTTGCAGAGTCACTTCAGGATCTTTACCTGATTCCAACTTCTCTGATACCACTGTCAATCTAAACGTTTATGGTATGTTCTTTAACGCTAACAGTAATTTCTATCTCACCTCCAATCTCCATATTCTAATTCAATTCAGTTAACGGAATTGTTTTGATGATCCGTTGGTTGTAAATTGTAGAATTTGTAGAATTTGTTAATTTACCAAAACTCACTTCAGACGTTGAATCAGTTAACACAGAAGTGAAGAAAGGCTCTTACGCAACGATTTCGTGTATCATCACTGGCATAACAGAAACAGCAGCAGTGACCTGGCGAACAAGTACAGGACCTGTTCCAGGCGATAAGCTCGTCCCTACCCAAGGAAGTTACTCTGATGGGAGACAGACATCAACTCTTGCCGTAGACGGGACTCTTGTCAACGAAGATACTGCCTACACTTGTAGAGTCACTTCCGGATCTTTACCTGATTCCAATTTCTCTGATACCACTGTCAATCTAAACGTTTATGGTATGTTCTTTAAACGCTAATGCAGTAATTGTGTGATATATTTTTCGATTCATGAACTAATTTCTATCGTTCCTCCATATTCCAATTCACATCAGATCAAGGAAATGATTTCATGATTTGTCGGTTATAAATTGTAGAATTTGTAAATTTACCAAAACTCATTTCAGACGTTGAATCAGTCAACACAGAAGTGAAGAAAGGCTCTTACGCAACGATTTCGTGTATCATCACTGGCATAACAGAAACAGCAGCTGTGACCTGGCGAACAAGTACAGGACCTGTTTCAGCTGAAAAGTTCACCACTGTCCAAGGAAGTTACTCTGCAGAGACACAGACGTCAACTCTTGCCGTAGACGGAACTCTTGTCAACGAAGATACTGCCTACACTTGCAGAGTCACTTCAGGATCTTTACCTGATTCCAACTTCTCTGATACCACTGTCAATCTAAACGTTTATGGTATGTTCTTTAACGCTAACAGTAATTTCTATCTCACCTCCAATCTCCATATTCTAATTCAATGCAGTTAACGGAATTGTTTTGATGATCCGTTGGTTGTAAATTGTAGAATTTGTAGAATTTGTAAATTTACCAAAACTCACTTCAGACGTTGAATTAGTCAACACAGAAGTGAAGAAAGGCTCTTACGCAACGATTTCGTGTATCATCACTGGCATAACAGAAACAGCAGCAGTGACCTGGCGAACAAATACAGGACCTGTTCCAGGCGATAAGCTCGTCCCTACCCAAGGAAGTTACTCTGATGGGAGACAGACATCAACTCTTGCCGTAGACGGGACTCTTGTCAACGAAGATACTGCCTACACTTGTAGAGTCACTTCCGGATCTTTACCTGATTCCAACTTCTCTGATACCACTGTCAATCTAAACGTTTATGGTATGTTCTTTAAACGCTAATGCAGTAATTGTGTGATATATTTTTCGATTCATGAACTAATTTCTATCCTTCCTCCATATTCCAATTCACATCAGATCAAGGAAATGATTTCATGATTTGTCGGTTATAAATTGTAGAATTTGTAAATTTACCAAAACTCATTTCAGACGTTGAATCAGTCAACACAGAAGTGAAGAAAGGCTCTTACGCAACGATTTCGTGTATCATCACTGGCATAACAGAAACAGCAGCTGTGACCTGGCGAACAAGTACAGGACCTGTTTCAGCTGAAAAGTTCACCACTGTCCAAGGAAGTTACTCTGCAGAGACACAGACGTCAACTCTTGCCGTAGACGGAACTCTTGTCAACGAAGATACTGCCTACACTTGCAGAGTCACTTCAGGATCTTTACCTGATTCCAACTTCTCTGATACCACTGTCAATCTAAACGTTTATGGTATGTTCTTTAACGCTAACAGTAATTTCTATCTCACCTCCAATCTCCATATTCTAATTCAGTTCAGTTAACGGAATTGTTTTGATGATCCGTTGGTTGTAAATTGTAGAATTTGTAGAATTTTTAAAGTTACCAAAACTCACTTCAGACGTTGAATCAGTTAACACAGAAGTGAAGAAAGGCTCTTACGCAACGATTTCGTGTATCATCACTGGTATAACAGAAACAGCAGCAGTGACCTGGCGAACAAGTACAGGACCAGTTCCAGCTGAAAAGTTCACCCCTGTTCAAGGAAGTCACTCTTCAGGGACACAAACATCAACTCTTGCTGTAGACGGAACTCTTGTAAATGAAGATACTGCCTACACTTGCAGAGTAACTTCCGGATCTTTACCTGATTCCAACTTCTCTGATACCACTGTTAATCTAAACGTTTATGGTATGTTCTTTAGACGCTAACAGTAAGCTTACAATCTATTTATCGATTCATGAACTAATTTTTATCCTTCCTGCATATTTCAATTCACATCAGATCAAGGAAATGATTCATGATTTGTCGGTTATAAATTGTAGAATTTGTAAATTTACCAAAACTCACTTCAGACGTTGAATCAGTTATCACAGAAGTGAAGAAAGGTTCTTACGCAATGATTTCGTGTATCATCACTGGCATAACAGAAACAGCAGCAGTTACCTGGCGAACTAGTACAGGACCTGTTTCAGCTGAAAAGTTCACCCCTGTTCAAGAAAGGCACTCTGCAGGGACACAGACGTCAACTCTTGCTATAGACGGAACTCTTGTCAACGAAGATACTGCTTACACTTGCAGAGTCACTTCCGGATCTTTACCTGATTCCAACTTCTCTGATACCACTGTCAATCTAAACGTTTATGGTATGTTCTTTAACGCTAACAATAATTTCCAATCTCCATATTCTAATTCAATTCAGTTAACGGAATTGTTTTGATGATCCGTTGGTTGTAAATTGTAGAATTTATAGAATTTGTAAATTTACCAAAACTCACTTCAGACGTTGAATCAGTTAACACAGAAATGAAGAAAGGCTCTTACGCAACGATTTCGTGTATCATCACTGGCATAACAGGAACAGCAGCAGTGACCTGGCGAACAAGTACAGGACCTGTTCCAGGCGATAAGCTCGTACCTACCCAAGGAAGTTTCTCTGATGGGACACAGACATCAACTCTTGCCGTAGACGGGACTCTTGTCAACGAAGATACTGCCTACACTTGCAGAGTGACTTCCGGATCTTTACCTGATTCCAACTTCTCTGATACCACTGTCAATCTAAACGTTTATGGTATGTTCTTTAAACGCTAATGCAGTAATTGTGCGATATATTTTTCAATTCATGAACGAATTTTTATCCTTTCTTCATATTCCAATTCACATCAGATCAAGGAAATGATTTCATGATTTGTTGGTTATAAATTGTAGAATTTGTAAATTTACCAAAACTCACTTCAGACGTTGAATCAGTTATAACAGAAGTGAAGAAAGGCTCTTACGCAACGATTTCGTGTATCATCACTGGCATAACAGAAAGAGCAGCAGTGACCTGGCGAACAAGTACAGGACCTGTTCCAGGCGATAAGCTCGTCCCTACCCAAGGAAGTTACTCTGCAGGGACACAGACATCAACTCTTGCCGTAGACGGAACACTTGTCAACGAAGATACTGCCTATACTTGCAGAGTAACTTCCGGATCTTTACCTGATGCCAACTTCTCTGATACCACTGTTAATCTAAATGTTTATGGTATGTTCTTTAGACGCTAACAGTAACCTTACAATCTATTTATCGATTCATGAACTAATTTTTATCCTTCCTCCATATTCCAATTCACATCAGATCAAGGAAATGATTTTATGATTTGTCGCGGTTATAAATTGTAGAATTTGTAAATGCTCAAAAATCTATGCATCAATTTCAAAACAAAACTTTTCCAATAAGAAGTTGTTTTAAGAAAATTTATTGAATGGTCATCTACGTCTATTAAACAAAATATAACTTATATTAAATTAACTTGAAATTAAAAAAAATATCAATTTATGTCAATAATTGAATTTAATATTTAAATCGTGCGAGCGTTATAAATTGGATGATGATTAATCACTCTACACTCGACTGTCACGTGACTTTTTCAATCCGTTCTCTAGCTGGCCCTGAACGACTACTCGAAACCTTAACCCTCTAATCTGATTCCAACCGCAACCCAATCCCTTACAAAAGCATAATATGCTGAAACCCTAATCCAATAAGAAATTATATCAACTTCATTATACGTTCATATTACATGATCGAGACAGTTTTTCGCCAATATTTTGCCAGAAAAGCATATTTAACTCTATGTCATGGGGGTGATTCAGACACACGCGCTCTTACATCACCTTTATATGATCATAACACCAGGTTTAAAGCTAAGTTAGGAAAGACATATTGTGCAGAGGAGGTTAACTATAATTGGCATAATTACACGTACTCTGATTATCACACTTACCCGTATAACAAACACACATGCTCGAGACATATTGATATTGATATTGATATTGATATTGATATTGATATTGATATTGATATTGATATTGATATTGATATTGATATTGATATTGATATTGATATTGATATTGATATTGATATTGATATTGATATTGATATTGATATTATTGAATGAAGCTAACTTCAGACATAAATAATATTACTTCTATTAACAAAGGGACTTGGAGTATAAACGACCAAGTATGCATGATTGTCTATCCAACCAAGAATTCAGGAGGCAAGGGTGGGTGCGTAAACTTTACTCTCTGCACTCTCCGATCCTGTATCACCCTGGATTCTTTTATATATACCTTCTTTTATTATGTCCCCGAGTTTTAGTGGATATAATTCCCGGAAGGTATTATAACCTCTAATTGCAGCGCTATCTACAATGGATACTGTGTACTACAGTCCCACGAGTATAGAGGTGTCGGTGGAAGGACGTTATGAGCCACAAATAATTTGGTTCATTGGAGGACAGGCGTACAGTTTTCAAGATAATCCCCATTTGACCCCAACAATTTCATCGGTATGGTCTGGGTCCAAAAAGACCTTTAATCTGGCGTTCGATATGAGTGGGTTTGAAATATATATGTCGCCGTTCACAGTTCGAGGAACAGTGTCTTTCGGAGACGCCGATGATTTAACCTTCGACACGGTGACAACCAACATCTACAAGAGAGGTTTTCTTCTCTTATCCATTATTCCATTGTCTCATTTAAATTTATGATTCGATATTGCTGAAACTTTACTGATATCTAACTCTCATTTCACTTTAAGATTTCAATTTTAAATATGAATTTATTTTCATAGCTGTATTATACCTAATCTTAAAAAGTTGTTAATAACCTTAATTACCATCCCAGAGTTTGTTGAGAGCCTTCCAGTCTCAACAATATTCCGCAACACTGACATCCCGAAAGCATTCTTGTGCTCTGCTTCGGGTGAAGACAAGGAATTACTTACGTTGTCTTGGAAAATAGGTTTTGATCTCCTGTTGCTCACATTCAATGTAATATACACCCTGCAACTCGCTCATTTGAATGTGATACGTACGATACATAAAATTTATGACCAGTCAGTTTTGTCAACGCTGAAATGTAAGTATTCTTTTTCTCGTGATAACTGAAATTACACACTAAAGAACGATACCACCACTCAACAGGAGATGTACTAGTAGATGATGAGGTAGAGCACGTGACCCTAAGAGATGAGTCAGACAGCAGCTCAACCACCACCAAGATCAGCAAGTTGACAATAACAGCCAACAAACCAACTTTCAACGCTCAGTTCAAATGTATCGCTACCTGGAGTGGCGTAAATGGAAAATCAATCGAGTCGACATCTGACGTTAACGCTGTTGGAGTAGCCGTGGATGAGAACACGTTCAGCACCGGTTCCTCTGGAGACGGAGTATTAAGTTGTGTGGTGTGGGGTGATTCACCCCCATATTCTGTCACGTGGTCTAACGAAAGGGGTGATGCTATCACCAACCAACCTGATGAGGTAACTGCCATAGATAGCCGAGAATTAATGATCTCAATGAACGATTTTTGAGCATGATTTTAATTATCTTTTTTGATATCTTCCAACTTTTAGTTTAACGAAATGACCCAACTTTCAGACAGAAATTGCAGACAGTATAACAGAAGGCATTACTTACACCCACTTGCTCACTGTTAAGAAGATGTCGTTTGGGGATCAAGGAAAATACACCTGCTCAGTTGTGTTTGTGGAAAACGAAACCCCCGTTAATGTCGTCACAACTCTTCACAAGCTTTGTAAGTTGGTTATCAGTGATCATATTCAAACATCTATCCACCCTGTTGCTAAAACTTATATTTATATATTGGTATTGTTTTATTTTTATACATATCATGAAACGGATCGTTTGCCCGCCAATTTGATTGTTTTCAATTGTTCGAAATGTATATATATATATTATTCAATAAATTCACCGCTAAGTGATGTGATTTTCAGCTGCAAGTTTCGAACCAGCAACACCATATTTCGTCCACGAGAAAACTGTCCAGTTCTCCTGCGTGTACAACGGTTTGGATGACCCGCAGAATATCAAATGGTTCAGGGTAAATGAATACGCCATATTAAACCGAAATAATCTGAAAATCTAAAATATCTTGGGAAGATATCTTGTGAAAAAGCTACGTTTTCTTTTGTTTTTGTTTCATTGACTTGTTAAAACCATCACCATAAAGAGCTACGATCTCAGAGTTTAACAGACGATGCTGAAAACCTAATCAGCAACAGTGATGCTAAGTACACCATTACCACTGGCAACTTCAACAAGGCCTCCAGAACGAAGACTAGCGTTATCACTGTAGAGTATGTTGAAGTCACTGACAGTGGCGACTACACCTGCAAATGGACCACCGAAACCTTCAATCCTAAGTCAACAATGGTAGTCTCTGTTCGATGTAAGTGATTCTGTATTTAGCACGGTGTTCCTCAAGAGTTGTGATCCTTGTCATGATTTTTTATAATTTCTATATTGTTCCAGAATTTTCTGCTTTACAAAATTCAATCATATTACAAACAGAAACAATTTCAGTGCTGACCACTCTCTACAACGGTATACAGCACTCTACAACGGTATACAGCACTGACGGGTCAATAAAGATCACGTGCAACTACGAGGGTACAACGAGTGGCACCATGGAGTGGTACTATAATAGCCAGAAACTGGAAGATGCTGCTGATGATGCCATCACCATCAACCCCGGTTCCCTGCAGAGCAATGCTCAGCAGTACACTCTGACAATTACTGACGTTACTCCGCCTGACAATGCGGGGTCTTACAGCTGTGTTCTGTTGTTCACAGACGGGGACAGTCTGCGTGCAAGCACGGAGGTTGTGGTGCGAAAATCATCCTCAGTCGACAGAGCGGGCACTGCTGAATCCACCATAGTTGTAACTGGTGATGAACTTTCTGCCAGATGCCTTATGGAAGGTGACAAGGTTCCCTCTGGAGTGACATGGACTAAAGGTGGCGATAAGATCGTGTTCGATGGATCCACTAAGATAGAAAACACGAATACCAAACAACTGGAAAGCAGCGTAAGGTTTTTCAGCAACATAACTATAAAAAGCTTCGATTTTGCTGACGAGGATAGTTACATCTGTAGCTTCAATTTTGGGGACGGTATTAATGTGCAATCAACAATAGAGGTCGTGTCTGCTAAAATTACCAACAATGAATGTGAGTTTGTGGAGATCCGAACCGACACCAGCAAGACCCTTACCTGTACTTACCATGGTAGTAGTGCTGCCACTGCTGTTTCCTTTACTCGACCAGACGACTCAGTTGTTGCTGGAGTATTGGCTGAATTCAGCGCTGGAGGGGATGCCATTACGGCAGGTTCCCAAACGGGTAGTTACGCTGTATCTAGTGTGAGTGAAGCGTCCAGTGGTTCGTACAAGTGTACCTTCACTTTAACAGGAGGGAAGACTGTGGAGTTCATTCAGAGACTAACTGCAAGGAGTAAGTAAACACTGAAATGTTATATAATTTCCATTTGCTTTTTTGCGAAATTTTGACTATGGAAATTAAGCATTAATTGTGCTTATTAACCTTGAATGATCTTAGCGCATTAATAACAAACGTTATATTTTAGAGGCTGTCATCGAATCATCAGCTGGTCTAAATGCAGATCTCATCGTACAGGCTTCTATAACTCTGACTTGTACCGTTACCTCTGGTGCACGGTCTTTGGACTGGTTAGTGTAGTACTTTTTATTGCTCAGAACTATTCAGATCCTTCATAATTTAAATTTGATTCAAATTTCAGGTTTCAATGTTGTCCTCCGATGTGCTATAATGTAAATCCGGATCGGAATATTGTTTATGAGTCGCATGGTTGCGCAAAGTATTCTTGTGTAAATTTGTATTGATCCCTTTTGATGCGACAAGGAAAATGCTCTTATCAGGAAAGAAATTACTCAGTCTCAACGTTTCAATGTTACAAATCTAGAAATGTTTTTATCAAAAATTCAAAACGTAAAAAACATCGATCGAGGCAAAATTAGTGTACAATTATTTATTTTTAATTCCATCAACTTTACCAACAACAAAAAAAGAAAAAATAAATAAAAAATAAAGTGCTATAACATTCCATCCATTTCTTAATTTTAGGTACAAGGGAGTGGCCAAGCTGATCGAGGAGCAAAATTACGAACGAATAAAAGTATCAGAATCAGATGACCTGGTTTCCAAAATAACTTTTAACATCGCTGACGACAGCGCAGGGTCATACACGTGTCGTGCGGTGCAATACGACAATTTCTGCCCTACCGAGGAAACGTTTAACTCGGAACCGGTTGTGGTGTCAATCATAGCGGCAGCTCTAATAACAAACCCTGCTAGTGCCACCGCTTATGGTGGTGCAAGCCACGTGTTTGAATGCGTGTTCCCTAATCCATTCGGAACTGATTATAACGAAATCACGTGGTCTTTCAAAAGTGCTGGGGATTCTGTTGCTAGGGTAAGTTTTGACATTATCTTTTGGTCCTACCAAAAATGACAATGAAAATATCGAATCTCGCCGTAAACCTGATGTAAATTTTGTACCGAAATATTGATCACATCTAACGGGCAAAATCATGTTTCATGATAGCGGTATATTATAGTGACTGCAAAAAATAAAATCCGGCGCCTTTACTAATACTTTTCTCGCTCAAATTTATCCCATAATCGCAGCCGATGATAGGAAATGGAGATGTGTACAATGACCAAAATGAGAGAGTTATCGATGGAACAAAGGCATCTGACAGCTCGGTTGCAAATAAAATCTCAACCACCCTCACCATCGGAAGTGTTAGTCAAATCCTTCAAGATAGCTGTTTAAACTTTTAAAGTATTTGCCTTTCAGAGGTTTCTTTGACTAACTTTTGGACGCATTTAAAAGCTGGATTATCATTAAACCTTAGCTGATATTTGAATTGTTAACTTTACAGGTAAACTCGGACGCAGCAGGAGAGTATATCTGTTTCATAAAGTGGGGAAGAATAATCATCAAGTCCGCAGCCGCCACACTAAAAGTAAGAGAAATCTCTTCTCCACCCGAAACAACCAACGTGGCCAAGGGAGGAGAGGCTAAGTTCACTTGTAAAACTTCCGGTGACAGCGCAGTGTTAATCACCTTTCACAAGACAAGTTGTGATGAGTCAGTTGGTACAGTTGTTGTGACTGAAGCTACATCTGGTGACAATGTGACTACCACTGGAATATTGACCATTGCTGGTGTCACAGCTACAGATCACGGTATTGAGTATTATTGCAAAGCAGCTTGGGGTGAAAACACAGTGGAATCAGGTAAGGTGTTCTTATCTGTTTTGGATATAACGAGCTCAACAGAAACCGTGTGGGGCCTCGCTGGTTATGTAGCGGAGTTCAAATGTTATTCAGATGCTTTGCTCAAAGCAAACGCGAACGGCGATCCGTATTTGGTCAACAAGCAGAAGACATACGCCGATGCTCAAATAAGTTGGGAGGTTTTTGACACTTCAGACACATCCTGGAAATCAACTGCTTCAAATTCACGGTGAGTGCATGCTTGAAAATACGATCATTTTAAACTTCATTTAAATAAGATAGCAGCTCAATACTATGGGTATAAACTCCCTGCGTTGAGGCTTGTTTGCTGTACATAATCTAAGCTGAAGCGAGTGGTCGCTGAACTTAAGTTAAATCTTCCCGAATGGAAATACGTGTATTTTATTCAAAAACTTAATCTTAAACTTGCCCCCTGCAGATTCGTGGTTAAGACATCGATGAGAAGCAATGATGGAGTAAGTTTGTCTCCTATGTCTCTCAATAACCTGGAGGAAGGTGATAACGATCTGAAAGTAAGATGTAACATCGCCTACCAAACAGATGCAGCCAACAACTTCTACGGAGGTACAGTCACCTCAGGAGAATTGACCATGAAGATCGGTTCCATCACATCCTTCACTTCCTCTAAATCTGATCCACTGGTTGGAGAAACCATTACTCTAACCTGTACTGCAACCGGAGAAATTGCTCCTACTTTCTCTTTTACAACCCACGGGAAGAACCATTTCGACACTACCTTCTTTAAGTTGGTGAAGGCTGCAACTGTTACTTCAGTCGATTCAGTACACACTGCGGAATACACTACAGAGACTCTCAGGGTTAACACGATGATAAATGGGCAAGTTGTCAACTGTCTGGTAAGAAGACAGTTTTTTTTTTAATTATTGAATACTTTTCAAACTTTACAGAGTACAGCAATTTTAAAGTATAAAATAAACTCGAATAAATTATTGCCCCCGTCTGTAAAATCAGACGGGAGACCAAACACGGTACTGCACAGTAAAATGTGCCCGCAATTACATGGCCCCGATATGATTACAAAAATGTGAAACAAAATTAAAATTGTGAAAAAATAAATGTGTGGTGAAGAATGTGAAACAGTTCAAATTTCTTCAGACAAGGCTGATACACTGTTTTTATCAAAGCTGACAATCTTATTGTTCCTTATGAAATGAACTCTGTTAGGCTCTGCTTTCCTCTTCTCTTTCAATTCCTCCCAGAGCTTCTTGAAAGCTCTCCTTTTCTTCCACTGATCTGTCCGGGCAAATGTAGATATTTTTATAGTCCTCTTTTGTGCGTAGAATTTTAGCTTTTCTCAGCACCTGAGCAGCCATATAAAAACTACCTTATTTGGACGGACATTAAATGAACGGACATAATTATGAACGGACATTAATATGAACGGTAGAAGGCATTAAAAACCATCAAAAATCCGAATTTTTTTTCATTTTTCGTTGACGATTTTTATTTCAGCAAATGATTTTTAAATCCATTTTTTATATAATAAGTAAGAAATTCATTCGTTAAGCAGTAAAAATATTAAAATATGTGTACATGATCAGTGTCTAATATCACATATCATCTTCATCAAATGGGTTTTCGTACATGAAATAGTCCATGCTTAAAGCATCAGTGATTTATGGAAACTTTTTTAATCAAACTACCCCGTCCTGCATTTCAGTGTTAACTTTTACAAGCCATTCGGCGTGAAGTGGTTTTATCTTAGACAACTTTGTCTTTAGGTTAACCTTAACATCACGTGGAGCTTTCCTAGCACTGCTTCATTACCTCCCCTGAGTAATACGAACTATAACAACGTCGGACAATGTCCTTGGAAACACGATTTACCGTAATATCTAGAGGCTCATGGAACAAGTTTGTCATGTCGTTAACTTGCGGCACAATAAATTTCACATAGTATATATACTATAGTATATATACTATAATTAGTATACATAGTATATAGTATACATAGTATATATACATATATATATACATAGTATATATACATAGTATATATACATAGTATATATACTATAATTTTCACATAGTATATATACTCTGGACAAAAAGTTCGAATTTTTGAAAAAAAATTCAACGGACTTTAACTAGGATGGACTTTAAATGAACGGACTTTAAAAGTTTAAATGAACGGACTTTATTTGAACGGAGATTAAGATGAACGTTAGGCCCTCCAGCGTTCAAGTAATGTCCGTCCAAATAAGGTCCGATAAGGTATTCAGAGATTGCCTAGTAGGTCCTGATGTGTCGGCTCTCTTCTGACCAATTCTCTACAACAGTCACGAAATTAAGGTTTCTCGTTATCTCACCAAGAACTTCAGCAACTTTGTTTTCTAACTTCTGATCACCGTCGGATTCACTTATTCCATAGATTACGACGTTTCTCACTTTTCTGCTTCTTTCATCCTTTTGAGCTATTGTTTTAACTGCAGTACATCTCTTCTTTGGCGTAAGAGCAGCAGCACTAGTCTTCTTCAGGGCAGAAGAATATGATTTCATTTCTGTCTGCACTGTTGTTTGGACTGACTCGAGTTCTTCGTCCTTCTTTTCAATGAGCTGCTTCTGCAAATCAATGACAGTTTTCTTCTTTAATTAATGAAATGTTTCGTTTATCTACTCTCTCCGCAACCATTTGCAAATGAGGGGCTGCATAACGATTCAAAATGAAACAAACAGTTTGCAGCCAATCACACAGTTTTTCTTTCGAAACTGATCGCTTGTTCAGGTTTTTTAATACAAGACCTCCGTATTCCTTAACATCCAGTTCGTGGCACATTTCATTAAAAACACTGTCTGTAACTCTTGCTACCTGATCTGCATTCCTGGCATTAAACAGATCTTCATTATCGGGGTCATCCACCAAATGCTTCGTATGTTCATGGTATGAGTGCTGCATCGTGTATATTCCGACGTACAGTTCTTGTATACAGGCTTGTATACAACTACAATATTTTTGTAAATAATCAATATTTATTGAAAATGTATAAATCGTGATTGATAGAACAATGCAGTTCAGCACTTTTTATTCATTTTTCTTATCGAGATTCGCTATATTATTTCAGGCTGACTACGGATTAGCTCAGAAAACAGAGAAAGAATTGACAGTCACAACATATTTCAATTGTGCTGATGTCACATGGAAATCATTAAATCCAGGTATAGCATCACTCCTGATCCTAGATCATAGAACTTTTTTAAAAATATTATATTAACAATCGCCCTGCAAGCATTGGATTTAATAACGCTCTGGTTTTAGTTTCTCTGGACCGACTTCTTGACAAGAGAATTTGCAATTTCAATACTTGTACTTGTAAGTAGATCTACGATTGGGGTTAAGTCAAGTTAAGGGTTGAAGGGTTCCAGGTTCAGGGCAGAACAACATAAGCCTATCAACATGCATCTGAGTCCAGATCTGCAAAACGTTTTCAATTCTTACTTCAAAACTCATCTACCCTCCCATACAGATGGAAATGGAGCGACAATAGCACAGGAAGATCTTGGTGATGGTTCTCTGAAGCAGACTATAACCTGCCCTGTTAACTCAGACCAAGCTAGATTTGAATTAGTTACCCGTGAGTATTATTACTAAACTTTTTACACAATCTGTTGAAAATAAGCATAATTACACATTCAATTAATGTTATCTTTAGAACCTTGCCTGTGTTCTATTATAATTGTGGTATCACTTTCCCTATTTATAACCAAAACTCAAGCTTTTTACCTCATTTTCCAGCGCCCGGCTCGGCTGCAGCAATAACTTGCACCAAGGAGACTGGAAAGTATGACAACTCCCTTGCCCGGTGCAAAGAAACAAACCCATTATCCACCGGTACGGGAATACAAAAGATGGGTGTTGCAAACAGCGCAGAGCAGGTGCTTTTTTGTTTATTTGTTTGAATGCTTTATTTAGTATTTATTACATTCCATTTATTTGTCAAGTTTTCACAGGTAAGAAAAAGAGGCTTGTAAATAAGCCGCCTTTTCTATATATAAGCCGCTTTTTCGCTTATATATAAGCCGATTTTTAAAATATACAAGCCACTTTTTCGTCAAAGAAAGTTGTACTCGTTGTAGATATGTTTAAAGTCACTATTGTGACGGTACATTAGAACTAGACAGAAACAAAGTGTGAAGGGCCTGAACGGAACCCCTCGGTTTCAGTTCCTTGTTTAACACTGCCGTACAGCAAGGACATTCGCCGGGTTCTCCAAGGATGGGCACATATCTCACTCTACACGATGCTCTGTCAAATGTTGCTTATATACCAAGGATCTACAGGAAATATTTCCTTGTAAGTTTTTAGAGGGCGATCTGTGAACAGACAACTACCTCATTCCCAACTATAGGAACTAGAATTCCTATACTATCCCAACAAGCTACACCAAGCGTAGTTTCAGATGAGATACCTGTCACAACTTTAACAGTATATATTTCAGCCAGCGCCTTGCACTGCTGAAGCAACTGGGGAATATTCGATTGCAATAATGAAAGAAAAACTGAACTCACCGAACGATGTTTTTTGTGGTATTAGACATCAAGTTACGTGTTTGGGTGACGGAAGTAAGTGTTTTCTGTAGTTTTACGATTTTATAAAATTATCGTGGTGACTGTTGACGATGATAATAAAACTGGTACAATCGCGTGTTTATGACGCATATGTTTTCAATGCTTATTATATTATCTTAAAATGCACCATAAACTTGATAAAGTGCCGAGCGAAGGCACTCAAGTGACTTTAAATTTTAAGTGACCATCTATGAACCATCATTGTACCGCTTACTACAAAACACTCTTCTCACAGCGTGTACTCTGGATACAGACAAAACAAATTGTCGTTACGAGGACGGCAAGGTGATTATAGAGTACTTTGTTAACTTGACACCTGGTGTTTGGACTCTCGCTGAGAGACATCCTCTCATAGTATTGAAAGATAAAATTCAGTTCTGGAGCTGTTCAAACGATTATAATAAAAGGTAGTTATTAAAAAAGTTATTATTTATATTAAAAAAGTTATTATATTTATATATAAATATGAGTTTATTTTAATGGTGTGGACTGTTTATTTGAGTTTCTATTAATGGTGTGGACTGTTTATTTGAGTTTCTTTTAATGGTGTGGACTGTTGATATGAGTTTATTTTAATGGTGTGGACTGTTTATAGATACGAGTTTCTTTAAAAAAGATTACTTGATGGTTTTTCGTTGTTCCCTGGTGCATAGTTGAAATTTTTGTTTTAATGAAACTTTATAAAGCTCCAATGATTAAAATAATCGTTTCGTCCTCTAGGCAAAATTTGTCATTTTCAAATGTCCAGTTGATAGGATAGTTTGACTATTAATGTATGACTATTATCTACATAATATACAACTTAGATCATAGCGAAACTGATCTTCTCTCTCTTAAATCAACCACTTGCCATGATTAAAGGAATTTTCAAATCAACACTCAAACAGTTATTACATTTTAATGTGAGCCGAGCCATTACCATATTTATAATGCTCGCAATATATGTTAATCATGATTGTATTGCTTTTCTTCACTCATTAAGACAAAATTGTTGTTTTCTTTCTAACACAGTCTAGAAAAGAGTTGGTAACCATGGTTACCATTCTATACTAATATAATGCTACCATTATATTAGTATCACTACATTTACCAGTGGACCTGTCCACACACCGCCACATAGTGTAATCAATCTGTTCTGCAAATACCACCCAGTCGAATAACTATGATAAGGAACACAAGGCTGGCAACTGTGTATTTCACACAAAATGAGAGTTTCGGCTCGATCATGAACTGATTTAGAAGTTCTTCCACCGCGATAGAAATCGTTTCTTGTGTTCGATGTTGATGGTCTGATTGGACATGTTATTTAGTTCGAGCCTCGCTTTATCATTTGTTGTGTTACTATTCTCAATGCTTTTCCAGAATCCTTTACGAACAGATTTCGTAATCTGATTTGCGACATCTGTTGTTTTCTCCTTGATCACTGCAAATACTTTCGTTTTTCCCGCATCCATATCCAGATTAGTAAAAATTTGGGAATATAGCAAACGTCATCGGAATTAATAAACTACAGCATTATTCATGAACAAACATTTTCAAAAACATTTTCAAAGTACTAAATATAACTGCTTTATAATTATAGAGAACAGTGTAGAGCTAGAGGGTAACATTGCGACTTCGTGAAGATTGAGGTTTACAGTGTAACTGTATGTAATGAAATGTGTTAGTACGAGTAACCAGTGCGGTTATCAAAACATTACATTCAAACATCTTTACTTGGTATCAGCTGATATCCTTGATTCCCAATAATAGATCCTGAATAATACAATTTCTTTAAAAGAACGAAATAATTTTTCATGAATGAAACATATATAAACAAACATTATAAGACCCCAATGCAAGTGTTCTTAATTGGCATCACTAATAGCTGAATTGTAATGCTGGTATAATATAGCTCGATTACTTTTTGTACTCGGACTCAAAATAAGCATTATTTAAATTACATTATATTAATATACAGAACTTCTACATAAAGCTCATAATATTACATATTTTCCAAGTTCTGTCCCACTTCCAAATTATATGAAATTTTATGAACCGAATAAAATTTCGAAATCATATTGTCTCAATCTCTGTCCCATTTTTAGTTTTTGAAGATGAAATTTCCAGGACCGCAATTTTACAGTTTGACTGATCTTTTCACCCACAACCAATTAGTAAGTCAACTATAAATGCAAAATGTTACGATTGAGGTGCTGGAAGTTTGATTTCGGTCGGAGGAAGCCCACATCAGAAAGCTTAACAAAACGAAAAGTTGTATTTTCAAAATCCTGTCCAATTTTCAAATATTAAATTTTCTGAACACAAATTAGACAGATTGGATGACATTTTTGCCCAGAAACCAATTATTCAGTTAATTGATGATGGTATGAAACCAAATTGAGGTACTGGGAGTCAAAATCCCGAATGAAATTGCAAAATCATATTGTCCCAATCTGTGTCCCATTTTGCATTTCCAGTTTTTAAAAATGAAATTTCCAGGACCGCAATTTTAAGGTTTTTACTGATCTTTTCGGCTTTTACTAATTTGCTCGCCCAAAAATTTCACGTGACTTTGGTTTTTATGATCTTGCAGCCGTACAAAACGGTTTTACATAAACCCTAATCCCAACCCTAATGATAACCCCAAAGCTATCCATAACCCTTACCTCAACCCTAACCCTAACCCGAGCCCTAAACAATTGAATTAATATTTTAATAGCCTGTCACGTGACCAAAACGGTTTTTTGCCCATAACTCTCCGTGGGAAACATTTTTTCATCAACTTTTTTTTGCTAAAAAAGTATAAATGGATAGAAGTGGTAGGAATTGAGAATTGATAATGGGAAGTAGTTAGGTACGTAGGTATGTTTTTCGTGTCACGTGTCACAAAGGAAAACATGCATTACCCTCCGCATACGTTATTTGAATGCATATTTTCCGGGCGCAGAACAATTATGGTGTCGTCGCCATGGTTGCCCTCCGCATACGTTTGCACTATTTGACGATTGAATGAATTACACCTCAAATGCGCGGCGCCAAGCATACAATTTGAATTCTATGGTAATTGATTTAAATAACAAGCGATTTTCCGGATGTTATAAATGTTTTAAATAGATTCAAGCTTTTCTTTACTTGATAATTGATCATGATGCGGTACAACTTGACATACGTTGCATGCCACTTTTCGCGCGCGAAGCGCGCGCCGCCGAAGGTAAGGTACAACATATTAACTTTTCGGTTTTTTGTGAGTGCTTGGTGCAACCACCGACTTGGCTCCCGATAATGATATTAATAATCCGTTATACTGTTGAAAAAATTATGAAGCTGATATTATGTTGAACATGATTATTGATTGTCACGTGATTGATTTGTTGCTCTAACCAGAGCCCTCTCGCTTGCAGTAGCGCGCGACCGCCGAAACAAGCGCGTCACGAAGTAAGCGTAGACACATGGCTATGTGAAATTGATTTGTTATACGAAATGGACCATAAATGTTATTATGAGTTACATTACTTAGTACCTACTCCGGATTTCACGACTACCATTTTATTTAATCTAACAACTTATGTAAACATGTAAACAACCATTCCTCCACATGGCTTTTGTTCTTCAAACTTTTAATTGCATATCACCACACAGGCGCAGAATACGGTGTCCGGTCATTTAACTTTTTAAATTTGATTAATTGACAGTAGCAACCCCTCCATTTTGTGCTCCGTAGCGCCCCAAAAGTGATGAGTAAAGAACCATTATTTAATATTTTTACCAACATCAAACATGAAACGATCGCGATCGTTAATTTAATTCAAAAGGCATGGCAATCCCTACGGTTGATGAAAATCTAGCGTCCGCTAACCGGCGCAATTTTTGTTAATTTTACCCTGTATCATGAGGGGATTCGGAATCAGCGTCAAAAAGTACACCGATTTAAATCAATTTCATACTCAAAGGGCCTTTTCACATAAATTTTCTTACCTGGGGACCCCAGGCTATTTTGTTCATAAACATAGCCTAGCTGGCGTAACTGAACCCTCTAAAACGCGCAGGTAAGCGCGTTTATGCGATTTTACAATCAAATAATCAGATTTTTCAATCTAACTCAGCGCACGGCTTTTGTAGCGCATACGTCACTTCTTTCCAATTGGTAGTTGGCGTGCACGTGATCTTCTACGCGGCTGTAATTGGTTCTGAACGATCACGTGAATACTAGTCACGTACGCTCTAACTAGGGAGTGCACGATAAAAATAAACTTGCTCAGATTTTCTAAATTTTTGTACCATTGTTTTCTAGAGAATGTGAGAATTTTCACACTAGTACCAAATTTGTCATACCTTTTTGGAATGATCAGTGAGTTTCGCTAAGGTGCCATATTTGATGGTGCGCGGCTTTTGGAGCAAAATTAGGTGTAAAACTTGCGTAATTGGTAATTTGACCAAATTCGTTGATTTTTGTCATATTATTTTATCATATCTTCGGTTCCTGAACATGAATCATGCTGAAAATTTGTCAGAACCTTCCAATCATACTTACCTACCGAACCTAATTTAGTTGGGAGGGATTGGCATTGATTAAGAGGTCTAAAAATGACAAAATAGGTATAAATTCGTTGATAACTCAAATTATGACCATCGAAATTGCTCAAACTAAATTAGTAAAACAAATTGTTATATGGGAAGTATTATAACTTTTTGATTGTTTCCGAAATAATAATGTGCTGGCCGAAATACGAGCTAAAAAACCATTCAATGGTCAGCGCGCGCGTCTTACGGTCGATGGCGCACTGCCTACTCTAACATCCAATGAGCATTCGCATTTTTTTCAGGGCAATGGACGTCATAATTCACTCAGCCCGAACAGAAATTTGGCGGAATGACAAGTTGATCCGTTGATCGCCGCCCAGAAAGAAATTTTAAAAAATTTGAGCGAGCGATTTAGATTTTTCACCCGCAACCAATTAGTAAGTCAACTATAAATACCAAATATCACGATTGAGGTGCTGGAAATTTGCTTGATTTAATCTTCCTGGATGGCCGCCGCGCCACTGTTCCCAGGTTGACGCTAGCCTAACGTGTCATCCGACAATTAACGAATGTTATTGTACTAAGCAAGACTCCTCGGCCTCTAAATTTCTTCGAACATCGGAACTGAAGTAGCGCGCGATACTTTCTCCTACGAAGTTGCGCGCACCCTACCAGTGCATTAACAATTTCAATAGGCCGTGCGCCATCGATCGTAAGAAACTGCTGCTAACTGCTACTAACTGCTGCCAACTGCTACAGACTGCTGCTGACTGCTACTAACTGCTGCTAACTGCTGCTAACTGCTGCTGTCGCGCGCGCGCAGTTAGCAGCAGTTTCTTTGCACTTTGCTCCTCCTGTCCTACTTTGATATTCACAACACAGGAGGACCGGAGGGCCAAAGTGCAAAAAACTTTTGCTCACTGCTCACAGGGGGACTGAAGTGCAAAGAAACTGCTGCTAACAACTGCTAACTGCTGCTAACTGCTGCTTACTGCTGATGACCTCATAATTTTGATGAAGATCTCATAATTTTGATGAAGACCCCTTGTAGGTTTACAACCTACCAAGACGCGCGCCGAGTTGGACTCGTCGACGGATCCAATATATGGAACAGATATTATACGAGTATCACCCGTTAAAAGACCCCCTAACATGAGGAGCTCATGTTTAGTTAAATAGTAGACAACCAATAAAAACTAATTTGTTACAGAAGAAGTAAAATA